AAAAATACAAGAACTATACCCCATCCTTCTCCCTAAAGTCGTCAGTCTGGCATATCAGGAATACAGCCTGTTATCACCATGAGTGGAGTGTCACAAACATGCAAATTACCTTCCCAATACTCCCTTCTCCTTTTCCAGATTTATAAATCATCAAAAACGGAACTGCAAACGTTCCTACTGAATGAACGCTGACTGCCGCAGGAACTGGAGGATCAATATCTTCTTCATTAGGGTTAAAACAAGCACTTAACCCTTGCAGTTTGGGGGTGGTCCCATTGCAAGAGTTAATTTGGAAAAAACTCCACAGAGTTCTTCTTTAATTAACTGCTGAATGTCCAAGACATATTGAAGATATGCTTCAACTCTGTAATTTCAATATTATAGCCTTGAGAAACAGCACTGAAACATGCTGCAATAGTGACTGTATACTGAGAGTACCTCTTTATCATATCCTCTGCTGCAGTAAATAACTGTTTTGCAGACATATCACAATGCGAAAAAAAAAAATCTATTCAGGGGTTTTATTTGCTATCATACATATAGTACATACATTCTAAAATGTTAAAAAGATCTTTCAATCTTGAACTGGCTTGTACTTTGAGTTGTAACTGGAATGCTGTAAAGCCAAAACTGCTTCATATGACCACATTACTGAAAACGTCTGGCAAGTAACAAGAACAGATGAGGGTCTTAGAAACACTTTAATGTGTGTGTATGTTAAAAATAAACACCACATTTTCATGTTTCATGATGTACATTATTATAACTGTCATTGTGACAAACTTGCCATATATTCGCTAACTTTTTTAACTGTTAAAAAAAAAAAATGAAGCGGAAATTTAACTGACACATAAATGCTGTTCAACACTACCGTTCCGCTTTTTTCCAACATTCACAAGTCAATAAATAGATCATTTTTAAGCAAATGTTTAATAAATGCATGGTGTTTGATATAAGACTTGGCATCTAAGCCGAGCACAAGCTGCTGATGTTCAAAGCTGCATTTAGACACATGCAAGCATGTTATTTTAAAATATATAACAGCTTGCGCTTAAAGCCGAACTCCAGCCAGGAGGAATACAATATGTATTAGCAAGGAATGTCATCACCTTGTGCCAAAATGCTCTCCCAATCTTTTTTTAGTCTATTTTTACCCTCGGTTTGTTTCCCCACACAGGTCTCTTATGCCCCCAGTTCCTTCTATCTTACAGTTTGTGCGACCGGGTGCTGCTTTTTCTTCATAAGGAGAAGTAGCACCTGGTCATATTTTCTCCTATCTGTAGTGTGCTAAGTGACATGCTTACATCACTGCTACTTCTGTGGGCAGGTACAATATCCCAGTACCTGGCTGTAATGCACCAACAGCAATAAGTCACTGCTCTCTTTTACTTACAACTGTGGCAAATAAAAAGTACAGTGACAGTATTGTGCAGCTGGCTATACGAGCGTCCACAAATAATCAGTGAACAGCCCTGAGCACCGCACTGCACACCGTGTAAGTGAATTCCCATGGTCTCATGGGAAATGTAGTTTCTTGTTCCACCTGTGTCCAGTGCCTGGATACAATAAACTCAGGAAGGAGCCGATGATGTCACACAAACTAAATGTAAAAATTACTATTGTGCAGTGCTTTATAAAAAATTTTTTTTACAGGAAAGCTGCAGAGTATTTTAGGTGGAAAGAACAGAGGAAGATGAAACGATATAAATTTGACTTGCAGCTGCACCCCTGATCTTGATTAGGGCTGCAACAACTAATCCATTAAATCCATTAAAATCGATAATGAGAATTGGCAACGATTCTCATCATCAATTTAGTTGCTTTATAAATAGTTGCCGCCGCTCAGCTCCTCCGTTCTCCTCCCCGATGGTGCTGGCTGCAGCGGTCTGTGTCCCTTTCAATCCCCGCTGTTCTCCCTGCCTGTATCAGCAGCGGGGAGAAGAGAAGGCGGATTTTCCCCCACTGCCCCTCCTCGTACCTCTGCTGATGACACGTTGCTTCTCTGCCGCCCCGTTTCTCTGCTGTCGCCTTGTGTCTCCTCTGGCCCGACCCGTTCCTATTCTTTGCCCCGCCCCGTGCCTCTGCTGCCACCCCATTACTCTTTGGCACCTAGAGGCTGGGACCCATACCCAGCCTGCTATTGGATATTTTAAAATGCAATAGCCAATAGTAGGCTGGCTATTGCACCTGCCGACTGCCTGCTGTCAATCAGCAGAGGAGGACCTGATGGAGAAAGTTCAATTGACAGCAGGCAGTGGGCGGGTGACATAGCCAGCCTGCTATTGCTCCCAGCAATAAAGTTTAAAAAAAAAAAAGTAAAAAATAAATAAAGTTACATAAACTAAGTCATTTTCAGCCTGACAACATTCATTTCAATGGATCCCAAATGCACCTCCCGTCTGCAGTGTGATCGCCCACACTGGAACGCAAGGTACTGCAATGCCCTGCGTTCCAGTGCAGTGCGATTTCAAAAAATGTGCATACCGTTTTATTCTGAAGTAAACCTTATGTCTGTAACGCTGCATTTGTGTATTTTATTTTATATTAATTTTTTTATATTTTGTATTAATTTTTTTTTATATTTTATCCGATTAATCGAAGTTAATAATTGGCTAACTCATCGGTTATGAAGATAATCGTTAGCTGCAGCCCTAGTCTTGATACCCATTATTTGAAATATCTTTCTCCAAGCATTTTGTCTACTGTTCCATACCAGCTGCTCTGCTAGAAATGTGCATTTAACTGAATAGTTTTCATAAAAATCTTTGCTAAGCCTTTAGTCTTTAGACACACAGAGGGGCAGTGCAGACAGTGGTGAGCTAAGACGAAGGAGAAAATGCACAGCTCAAGTCTTTCACAATGGTGCATAATGGGGTAACGGATATAACAATCAGCCTTTAACCTTCACCATCTGTTGCTCATTATTCATCACTGCAGCACCGGTCTCTTCTGTGCACACCTGACTTCTTTATTAGACTTTAAAGTAAGGCCACAACTGTAAGACTGTGCCTAATCCAAAAGTGTATCTCTTTTGCTTGTACCCAGCATAGGTGTCTGTCTGTCCTTATTCTGACCATTCATGCCGTTGAATATTCCTGTGTTTTGTTTGGACACTTTTTCTATTCAGCTTGTCTCTGTTTATCCTGATCATTGGCCTGATACCTCTGGTATTGTCCTTAATTGCTCCACTTAACCACCTAAAAGCTGGAGGCCGTTTGTCTGAGCCTAGCTGGGCCATCAGTCTGCTAATTTTTCTACTGCCTGTTGTTTGCTTTGACCATCTGCCTGAGGACCACAACACTGTTTTAGCGGTTTTCGCTGGCAAAAAATGATGTTTACTTTGATCATCTGCCTGAGGCCCACATCACTTATGCCACAACATCTCTTATGCCTGTTTTCAGCTGTTAATCCTGACAGCACATAAAGTCTACCAAACCCACCATGAAAGTCTACCAAACCCACCATGACAATGGTCCTCTTTGGCATATTTAGAAATGAGAGGGCAAAGCAAAAACAGTGTTGTCCACGTCAACCATCAGGTGCGTTTTGTTTATCTTAAACTAGAAAAATAGCATCTAGAATTTGATTGGGTGCCAACTCTGGCCTATCCAATTTAGTATTGCCTAAGTGTTATAATCTATGGTGTCATGGTATTTGAAAGTATATCTAATGGCAATGAAATTTACAGGGTTATTCACTAAAGGGTGAAGAGTTTGGAGAAGGCCGCAGAAGTGAACAATTTAGGACATCATAGCTAAACTGAATGTTTCCAAATCAGCTATGTTGTCCTAGATTGTTCACTTCTCTAGCCTTCTCCAAACTCTTCACCCTTTTGTGAATAACCCTGTTAGTCTGTCATTAGTAAAAAGAAACAGAAGAATATGGTAAATTCTTACAAGGAATTAAGGGACCTCTCCTTGTTACTACATGGAGGGTTCTGAGGCAGTGCCAACATTTTACTGAACACTGAAAACCCCTTTTAAAGAGATATTAGTCATGAATGACCTATTAATAATAGCCTTTAAGCATTAAGTATGTAATACTTTCAGGTAATCAGCAAAGCAGAAGACATTGAAAATGAAGGTACTACAGTAAGAAAATATATTTTCATACACCTAAGAAACTACTTTCCTGTATTTTCCCCAGAATAAAATGACCACCTGTTATTCTGCTGTTTACTTTTGCCTCAATTTCAGCTGACCTTGAACAACAGGTTCTCTCGCAAATATAAAAATGTCAAATATTGCAGTTTCTGTACAGCTTTTATATACACTATATAGTAGCTCTTTAATATAAACTTTTCATTTTAGTTTTAATAGTCTTATAATCAAGCAATTTAGAGATTTTTGCCCGGAGAGTCCGGCCCTGCAGTCTCACTACAATGCTGAGTACCATTGTTCTTGCTGCATTCTCTGTGCAGTAAAAAAAAAATCAAACAGAGTGAGCTGGACACCATCCATAATGGCTGATAACACAATAACAGACGTTTCTTCCTTTACGAGTCTGCTTGATATACAACATACAGGTGGACAGCAAAATGGTATTAACGCAAAGCTGAATTACCTATTTTCTTTTTGGCGAAATTTCCCTTTAAAGAAAAAAAACTGTATAAAATAAGATCTGAAATTAAAACTTAATGTAATGAAGAAAGAAAGTGTCTTGCTTATGAAAAGTAGTCGGAATGCAAACAAGCCATCCTCTATAAAGAATCTATTTTCTGTCAAGGAAAGTGTTAAATGAATTTGGCAGTCTTCTGAATAGCGTTTCACTGGTCTGGGTTTTTCAGAATCATGTGTCTCTATTCATGCTATAAAACATAACCAAGCAGCTGTTTCCTAGTCTTGGCTGGGAAATGTTTGACTCTGAAAGCTCCTAAGACTTCAGTACAGATGTTTATAATAATAGTTTTCCTTCACACATAACAGCAAGCAGATCCATTTTAAAGCACTATACAGTGAAGAGATGATTGAATCATTGCACTGGAGTAATGGGGAGGATACCTGTTGCATTGCCATTAGCCTGGAATAATTGGCAGCTTTCACTAATGCTTCTGCAGCTCTCTTTGCTCGCTGCTGTGGTGCACCTTTGGGAAATGCTGGCAATGCTGCAAGCACATTCTCCACAGTAAATTCCTGGCTCAGGGAACACTCGATTTTTGCCTGTAATGCAAACATAATAAAGTCAACTGGTGGAAACCAAGAACGCATCTTCTCTGATTATTTCAAACACCTCTCCAATAAAGCACAGGTGGGAACTAGCTGAATAAACAGGCAGTATATGAGGAATTACTAAGTCATAAACATGAATGGAAATCAAAGCACTGACAATTTTGTTAGCTAAATGTTTATGTCTTGTACTATGCTTGCCCCATGCTGAATCAACGCCTACATAAAACAGATTGCACTGGTAGGAGAAAAACTGAAATGTCACTTGTACAGCATATGTGAGTGCTGTCGTATTATGAACACATAACAATTTCCAAATAGTGACTTCTTGCATGCATACTGCAGGCTTGTGTTGGACTAAATGCTGTTCATTCAGACGACTCCTATAATGCTAATGCAGTCCCAGTTATGGTGGCTTAATGGTAGTATATGGCTTAATTATTAATTTACCTCTAGGCAAACAGTTAAATATACAGTTAAATATATAGATTAGCATGAAAGATACGTAATTCTGTACTGCCAGGGTTGTGATGTACATACTTCTGCCATACTACACAGCCAGCGAAGTGACACACTGGGTGACTCCTATGTGACTTCTCCACCTCTAGCCTGCTAACTTGACAAAACAAACAGCACCATCACCTCTGTCATATGACCAGGTGTGTAATCTGGGGAAACATAAGGCTGAACCTTAATACGTTATGGCAACAGTGTGGGAAAAGGTGTGGGCATATATCACAAAACGGGCTGAACAAAGTTACAAGATAACTGAATAAAATTGCAGGTAAAACAGAAAAAGTGTACATTTCACCTATGTATTCAGCTTTGTAGTTTGTACTTCTGAAGACAGATTCTAGCTGTCCAAAGCATTTAATTACATCTGCAATTCATCTTCGTATACAGTAGTAGGAGAACTAATGGGAAGGCCTGATTGGATACAACAGGCAAGATGAACACTTCTGGCAGTTATATGGTATTACAATCATGCTGCTCTACACTGCCCTAAAGCCCTGAAAAATGAAACATTTACTGCCCTCAGTTCACAGCAGATTCTTTTATACTGCCTACAAAACCACACATGGAAGCGGTTATGTTTTATAGTTATAAAAAATTGAATCAGGTTTTTTTTATACCAATAAACAGAAATATAGGGGTTTATTCACAAAAGGGTGAAGAGTTTGGAAACGGCAGAAGAAGTGAACAATCTAGGACAACATAGCAGAACTGGAAAGTGAGCTGAGTTGGAGAATCAGCAATTTTGGCCTAGATTGTTCACTTCTCCTGCCTTCTCCAAACTCTTCACCCTTTTATAAATAACCCCCAGAGTCTTTAAATCCCAACTCCAGCTTTGAAACCCCCCTCTTCTGGGCAAGGGCAACTGCAATATTCTTGGGAAGCAGGGTATCCAGGTGTACTGAAATCTGCAAGTTATCCAATTCAGGCTATAGCCTCCTGGCAGACAGCTGCCTCACCCAGCCCAAAGGAGAACTGGCAGAGGGATGATACACTGCCACATGCCCCTCATTATTCCAAAGCACATAATAGTCTCTGTTCTTTAAACTAGGTCATTGAAGAAGCTCTTGAAGATATCTGTACTATGCAAGGGTTAAGTGCTTTTTCCAAATATAGAATTTAGTATATCCCAAATCATTTAGAAACTAAAGCATCACATCTGATGTATTCTGAAAAAAAAAGTAAAGATCGACTTCAGTGGTGAACAGTTTGAGTTGAAAAATCAGACATCACACTTTCACTGATTTAAGCAGCTTCTGCAGAGAAGGTAACACATGGGGCTCCCTACCTTTAAAGTTTCTAGAATAAAGATTTTATTTGTAGTGCCACCAGTTGGTGAATATGGGATTTTAATACTTGCCCTAACATCCATTTCTTGGCACACAGGAATTTAGAGACTGGTGGGTTATGGGCATGCATCAGTTTGGTGGAAAAGCAGTATGAACAACATAATCATAAGAGCCACCTCTTTACATCCACGTGGAAGCTTTTATGTTTTATCGTTATAGAACAGGCATCAGATGAGGCCTGAAAATCAACCTGAAAGAGAGTGTGTGACCAGAAGACCAAGTGGCAGTCTTGCAAAACTGAGAAAAAAGTAGCCTGATGCCAAAAAGCCCAAGAAGCATTCAGAGATCAAGTAGAGTGGGCAGTGACAGGAAAGGGTGGAACACGATCCTTAAGACCAAAGATTAAAATGATGATCTGCCTAAGCCACCTAGAAAAAGCTCTATCCCCTCAATAGGGACCATCAGTGCTGACAAAGATGACTGTCTTAAGAAGAAATACCACCTTGTCTGTGTGTAAGACCAGGGACAGGATAAGGCCACCAGCTCAGACACATGCCTCCCAGAGGTGATGGCAACAAGAAACAGAATTGTGTGGATGAAAGTGACAGGCTCAAAGAGTGGCTTTTGAAGCACCAAGAGAATCAAATTCAGATCCCACGCAGTCACGGATGAGTGCACAGGGGGACAGAGGAGTGGGAAGACAGTGGTTTCTGAAAGAAGATTGCAAGCACCGAGATGTGCATCTTGATGGTAATCAGAGCAGGAGCTGATCCAGGGTAATTTGCAGAAAGGCCAGGATTCATTCCACTGAGAATTTTCTGAGATGAGTTTCCTTGCAACAAATTAAGTATGCCTGTTATGTGTTATGATAAACATTGTGGGTAATCGACTTTCTAGCTTTTAGCTAAACCAATTTTGTGATACCTCTGTCCCTAAGGAACTGGGCTTCAACAGCCATGCTGTTAAAGCCACTGACCGTGAAGCAGGGTGGTAAACCCATCCTTGGGACAGGAGATCCAGATGATCTGGAAGAGCCCAGGGTGCATCTGCCATGAGTCTGATCAGGTCAGTGTACCACATTCCCCTAGGCCAGTACATAGCTTTAAGGACAACTGGAATGTCCTCCATCTCGATCCTGCAGAAACAGATGATGGAGTTTCAGGAACTAAAAGCATAGATCAGGCTGTACTGATCCCACGGAGCCATCAGAACATCCACTGCTTCTGTCAGATGTCTGCACATGCAGACAAACTTGTATGGTTTGTTGTTGAACGTGGAGGTCAGGAGATCTACATCCAGCATCCCCTACCTGTGACACATGTTCTTAAAGACCTCCAGATGAAGGGACCATTTGCCTGGGTCCAGATACTGCGGGTAGAGGTGGTCTGCCATACCCGGGATGTAAACAGCGGTCAGAACAAGGTGTAGTTCTGCCCAGGACAGAATCCTTTCTACCCCTCTTGCCAAATGTTGTCAGGCTGTCACTTGCCCTTTTATATATAGTAACTTATTCTTCTTATTATATCTTTTAACGGATACTAATTTGTCAAAAGTTTGTTAACAGTTCCAGTTAAACAGTATGGATAGAGGAGTCTCTTGCTTCTGGCTACTGTATTCAAGCAGATGTGGGAGCGTGTCACTTCAGCTGATTGGCTTTAATCACTGTTCGAACAACACATTTTCTCCCATCTTCTTCAATTTTATGGTAAGACCTCTGGTTCCTCCTTGAAGGCTGATGTACCCCACTGCTGCAGCATTGTATGACTGAATCCTGATTGGATTAACCTCCAGCCGGGTCTTCCAGCACTGCAGGGCCAACCAAATTGCAGAGGCAGTAGAATGCAAGTCCCCTGCATTGACAAGATGTCCCAGACTTCCCCCCAGCCTGAGCTTAGGATTTAGGAGATGTCCAAGGACTGGATCGACTTGTCTCACAATGACAGGATGTTAAGTTGTGGGGGTCGGCAGTGGAACTGGGCAAACAGGACTGCCTCGAACAAGGATACCATCAGTACCAGAAAATTTGACGCAGAAGTGAAGACTTGGGTGACTCCTGGACTGAATAGTCTGAGTCTAGAATCAGAGAGTTTGAAGCTTCTCCTGGGAAAGAAAAACTCTAGGATAAGACACACATACTCCAATTGATAAGTCATTTTCTGCATTAACTTCTGACGGCTCACAATATAGAAGAAATGTTTGAGCCATGCCATGTCAGTCGGAGTTTGCAAAATCCTGCATGACTTCAGTAAATCCACCTGAGATAGAGCCGAGGAGGGGACCATGCCCAACAGAGCTAAGGAAGACGCAGAGGGTGGCATAGACTCAAGTAGGCTGTCAACATCAGGCCCTTCACAGTGTGTACTGCAAACAACATCTGAACTATTAGTAGATCATGAGCTGGAGGCACCCAGGGCAGCCGGACTGGTCTCCTTGTGCCTGAGATCCAACATGTTGCAACACAAGGCAAATAGTGGCAAGGGAATTGCAGATGGGGCCCAGTGGCTCTGGTAATGAGGTAGGTCTCGATGCTTGGCCCACACGACCTACTATCAAAGTTAGTATTCAGAGACTCCTCGGGCTGTGTCCCGTGGCTCAGGGCCCCAGAAGCGCTCAATGGCAAATGTTAGTTCACTGTAGGTTTACATCTCGAAAGTGCCACAATGCAGAGCCCAGTGCCCGAATTACATTCCAAGCTAGCCTCGCAATTGCTTAATCTAGTGGGGTCGAAATACGGCCTCCAAAGCTAAGAATATAAAAAATAAAAAAATTTGGGGGAGGAAGACTGGAAAGACAGGGATGGAGGCTGGAGTTGGGCTTTAGGCAATTTGACAATTTTATAAAGCAACCAATTTAAAGAATATAAAACCAAAATGTCTGTACTGATACTCTGAGAAGTACGGAGCCAAAGGCTGGTTGCTTATGCTGCATCTTTTTGGGATTCAAGAGTTAAAATCATCTGCTTTCTTATTCAGCTGCATTTCAAATGAGGGAATCAGATTCTTTATTCTTTATAACCACAAATAAAGCAATTTATCAAGGAATACCTGACTACATTATCTCATTTGTAGATGCAAGTCATACCATGCACACATTGGTTCGATGCTTAAACATCAGTTTTGGGCAGGCTTAGTCTTTAATCATTTTATTGGACGTGATAACTCTTTCTATCATGAAAATCAAACACACACATAATCTTATCTACCATATTTGTTTATGCTGCAAGCTAACTAAAGTCATAATTCAAGTTCAAAGAGGATGTATAAATAAGCTTTGAACTAAAAACTGTTACAGATTAAATGGGAAAATATTCCCTTCAGATTGCCTTAATTTGATATGTTACAGTTCATATTATAAAGGATCAGAAACACTTCTAAGCTATCTCAGATACCTGCAGGGAAAAAAAATAACTAACTGTTTACTTACATGAAAGGCAAGGCAAACAGAAAGGAGCAATGATTAAATTAGTAAATAAAAAAGTATCATCAGAAACAAACAGATTTGGCTTAAATTTGATGAGGAAAAATTATTGTTTTAGTTGATAACAAGGCACCTCCCCTTTTCTATTGATGGTCAGTGGTGGGCCTATGGTTTGATCAATGCCGAAATGGTCTACCAATCACGGGGGAGGGGGTTCTTGCTGTTACCTTTCTGAGTTTCAGGAGAATTTCAAGCCCATCTCTGCATTATTAAGTTTGCTTGTGAATGTGGAACCCCCCCCCCTTATTGTTGAATACAAAGGGTTATCTCATAACTAAACACTAAATCAAAATAACTTTCATCATTTGCATGCATTATTTGCTCCATTTCATGATCTAAAGTTACAGTGCACCTATAATGCATTATAGATTTTATCACAAAGACCATGTGAATTTACTGTATGTACAATACATTATTGATTGCCAACACTCCTATCACTATTGCAGCCAATTTTGGATAACACCTATTTTATGTTCATTACATATTCCTGTTCACATTGCATAACTTAAAAACCTTAAAAATTGCTGTTTACATTAAGAGCTTTTTCCTTGCTTGAAAAATCCTATCTAGTTTCCTCCCTGTGTATCGTTAAGGAGGGGGGCTTTGGGAAGTTATGTTTACTCTATATAATCTTCACTATGCTGGAAAATCTCATTACCAGTTGTAGACTAGATTTGAACACAATGAGGGGAATTTATTAAGACTGGAGCAGACAGAATCTGAAGCAGTTGTGCATGCCAACCTATCAACTTCTATATTTTATTTTCAAAGCTTAACTGTATAAACTGAAGAGAGAAGCTGGTTACTACGGGCAAGTGTTCCAGCTTCTGTCTACTCCAGTTTTGATAAATTCACCCCAGTCAGTCCTAACAAGATGTTAAAGTCTATGAAGCATTGTATGTTAATGACAGGAAGCTCAGTCTGTCCTTCAGTTTATCCCTTTACATTCACTTTTAAAACTAGTTAGAGTAGACTGCAAATCTGCACAAAGGCCTTCACTGAAGAAACAGCTAAAACATAAGAAATCTTTTTAAGAAAAAAATCTTCTTAGGTATGCTTTGTAATTAGGAACACATAACCAACATATAGAGGGGTTTTCTCAAATCTGCTTGCAAAATGGAAATACATTTTAAAGTCCGTTATGGGGAAGTTTTTGTTATCATTCCTATAAACCCTCACCCTGCATACTTTTTAACTTATCATCAACTTGACAAACTACTTACAGTTTAAGCGTAGGAGCCAAGGGTAAGGGATCCTAGAGGGAGCCCTATGTCCTATGCAGGACCATATTTGCCCCTTTTCTACGGCCATGTGGACAGCATTGTGCTGTATTTCACAATACTTAGGAAGAGAGTTTGGCGTGGCCAGCTTTAAATGGCATTGAGGAGGAAGAGGAGGATTATCAGGGGTGACAGCACTGGAAGCCCTCCTCCACAATGCACCCAAGAACACAGCAGTTGCATAGAGCACAGTGATATTACTGCAGAACATTTAGCTTTGTCACTCTATTGGAGGCTTGTTCACTGCCAGGATCAATATTTACCTAAAGCATGAAGTTATATGTGATTTAAAAAAAAGATGTACCTTGATATACATTACATATACATTTAACATTGTGATTTTAAATTTTTGCCTATAGTTACACATTAAATTACTCCTAGCTTCTAGTGATGATAATTTTTAGGAGAAATTATGCTGCTGCTCTCTAGGAAAATGAAGAAGAATATTCTCCAAATTTGCCAGTGCCAACACCATTTTCAGACAGTATCAGCAGAGGGTGGAGGAGGGGGAATTTGAAGCAGGAACTTATTATCAGAGTTTTAAATGAACGTGCCATTATAAATTACAACTTCCCTACTATATTTCACTGGGAACAAAATACATATCCAATATTACCAACAGTGACTTGAATTATCTTTAAAATGCAGAATGTCCATGAAAATAATACTTTGCACTTCTGCAGTAGTTTAGAGAAACAATACAAAAACCTTAATAAAAAGCCTTTGGCGGTTTATTTATACCCCTTAGAGCAATAATATGCTTTTCTAGAACAATGAAATACAGAAAAGGAGAAATGATACGTGTCTACTCACCCAAGGTGCAGATGGTACAATAAGTGTCATTGTAAGCAAATCCCGGCAACATTCCTCCAAATACTGATTACATCTTGTCAAATGATTTATTAACCTGGAATATACAACACTCGGCAGTATATGATGAGCCGACTCTGGAGGCTGTGTTCCTGGGGCTAAAATATGGCTCAGTGTTTGTCTTGTAGCATGCAGGTGTCTGAATAACGTGCTAAGTTTTCCTTCAAGAGCACTCTGATGAAAACAAGAACATTTTCAGAAAGGTTAAGAAATATATTCTCATATGCTCCTTAAAAATGACAGCTGCCTCCTAACTTTTGAGTTTTTCTCTAGTCTAGTCTTGGATCTGGAAAAGTATCTGTACTCGTGCCAAGAATGGTACTTGGTATCTGAACATCCCTATCAGGAAGTACTGTAATGTGTAAATCAAATAAACAAGATACTGCAATATTCAGCCACTTCATAACAAATCATAAGATGTTGTGGTGCATCCTATATTGGTCTTTTTTTCTGTAGTTTTTGTTGGTCTCCAAGCTGAAAAAATTGAGTAGATGTTATTTCCATTGCAAACTTTTTTTCAATAATGAATTCAGATCAAACAAATACACATTTCCCTGCAAAGGATTCCTTTACATTTTTGCCCAAACACTTACAATGTCATCATATTTCAGAACAGCTGACCCAATTTTCTTAGCTGAAATTAGAGCAGTTTATGGCCAGCTTAAGTCAGACAGTCCAGCCCAGGTGGCAACCATGGCTCCCTCCATAGATACAGTTGAGGAGTGAACATAGTCTCCCAGTGACATGTTTTTTTGACGGAATCCTGTTGCATGAATTTAATTGTTGAAGTCTATGGGCCAAAACCATTTGCTATCAAACGCTATTTTGGAGCCTGACCTACACTTTGTACATCTAGAGCATCCTACACTAATCATAGAACATCTATAACAGGGATATCCGATCATTAGGTTGATCGCGATCTACCAGTCGATTGGAAAGCGAACACTGATAGATCGCGATCGGCTGTGTCCTGCTCTCGTCTCGGGCGCATCCAGGGCTCAGCCAGCAGGGAGAAGTGGGGCTTCTCCTCTGGATCCCCCCTGCATACAGATGAGGGAGAGCAGCGGGTATCTGAGGAGAAGTGACGGAAGCGCTGCAGCCGTCCAGGGGTGGGGGGGGGTCAGAGGAGTGAGCCGCTGTCACAGCAGCATGGCTGAGCGGTGAGGAGAGAGAGCCGTTCGGCCAGGATCTGACAGTCGGTGCCTCTCTCTCTCTTCACCACTCATCCATGCTGCTGTGACAGCGGCTCCCTCCTCTGCCGGCTTCAGCGCTTCCTTCACTTCTCCTCAAACTCCCGCCGTAAACAGGTGGGGGAAAGCGGCGGGGATCCAGAGGAAAATCTGCAGGCTGAGCTCTGTGCGTGGCAAAGCGGCAGAAGATCGGTATGTTCCGATATGTTCCGATCCTCTGTGCAGAGCTGATCACTGAGTGTTTGTAAATAACTGGGGACACATAGTACTATGTGTCTCCAGTTATGAATGAACAGGAAGTGTTTAAAAGATATTAGTTTAATGCAAACAATCATATCAATGTTAAAAAAAACCTTTTATCTATGTATTGTTTTATAATATATATTGACATGGGCCAGTCATCTTGCTAAATACAGTATATAGGCAGGCTTCTGCTTTGTAGTGCTACACAACCATTTTGTTTTATTGTTCTCTTACAATAAAACTCTATAGGTGACTGCAGACAAAGGAAAACATTTGTTTACCCAACCTGATCATAAAGTGAAAGTATGGTCTGTTCATGGAGGTTTTCTATTTTTCTTTTCTCTATTGGTTGAACTTGATGGGATTTCTTTTACCCTAACTATGTACCTATGTCTGCAGTCCCTTCCTAACACATGTGGATTTCATAGATCCCTTTGTATGGTTTTATATGATTGTGTAATGACTAAAGAAGGCAACTAAGAAATCCTTAAAGGTTGCATCCTTAAAAAGATAAGTTAACCGATATAAGGTGTCATGTAAAGCAGAACTTCAGGCAAAAATTGTACCCCCGCACTGCAACGGTTAAGTGTTCATTTTTCTTAGGGTTAAAAATAAAAAAGATTATACTCAACCAATCCTTCGAAGTGGCTTGCTCTTGGACCGGCCCCTGGATCGTCTCCCCCCCTCCGCTGCAGCAGTCTGAGGTCTCTGAGTCATTAGGTTCTATACACCGTGCATAGGACGTAAGGATACTGGGTGACATACCATTGCTGCAGAGGAGGACGAGACAGGCAGGAGAGAGCGCTGTGACAGCCGATTGGCTCAGGGGATCAGGCGAGTTATTTTTTACCCTAGGCAAAAATGAGCACGTAACCCTTGCAGTGTGGTGGTAGCCCAAAGGTTAATAACATTTTTACCCGGAGTTCTTTATAGTCCAAAAACATTTTGAAAACTTTATTTTACTTCTATAATTATTTAAAGTTTGACTGAATGTCACTTGCTGTGACTTACAAGACAGTCATCCTAAACTCTGAGCATCGGGGTTCTTTACTCAAAGCAACAGTGCTACGTGACTTTGTCAAGTGTGCCAGCAATGGTGATTAGTAGTGCATGCATGAAAATGGTCTTATCCTTCTTGATCCTCAAGTAACAAGATAAATTACTATTATCATTAAATTACTATTATTATCATCATCATTTATTCCAGGTATGGTTAGACCAGGGTGGCAAGGGGTACACGCAAACACAGAGCCAAAGGACAAAGGGGCTGTGCAGTGCTTTGTTTCACAATGGCAGAATAAAGGACATGGGGCATAGTAACACCTGCATTCACAACCACATGTCTGCTGACAAGTAACAATAAGATATGCTTAAAGGAATTAAATAATCCTTTACACCCCAGGCAAATTTCGTACGACCTGCCCATCTTGGACAGGCAGATCGTACTGAGGGGAGGGCTTACAGATGATTGCAATGGTGAGCAATGGTGCAATGGTGAGCTTGCGCACCTCGGCCCATGCGGCTTTCGTCTTGCGATCGCGCTACCAACCCGCCGAAAATCGTACGCTTTTCGGCGGGTTTTCTAGCGTGATCATAAGACGAAAGTCGTGCGACCTTACAGTATATGCGGTCGCATGCTGCCCATATACCTTACGATTATCGTACGATCGCGGGATCACCCGCAATCATCGTGCAATAATCATCAGGCGTATGGGCAGCTTAACACAGCAGGCACATACAGACCTGTGTGTGAGCACTGAGCATGCCCAAAACCTTTAGTGCATTAAATGTGGTATTGATTTCAGCTGCAGGCAAGTAAAGAAGGCCAACTTGGAGCTGATTAAATCAACAGTATGGTGACATCAACTCCGTTATGCTTTCTCCATAGAAGAACCATAAAGAACTACTTACAACAGATCTTTATCTCTCAAGCCATGCCTGTGTTGAGGGGAGATCTCCCAACCAGGCCATGGAAAGCATCAAAGAACCAGTGGGAGATCATATTCTGCCTTCTCTACCTAAATGGTGGGTAGATCCCACTTTAATTACAAACTTTAATTACAAACGTGTCTCCATATGAGCAGTTATAGTAAGTGGCTGACAGGAAAGTTGTGATGGATCTTTATGCCTCCGGAGGTAAAAGGAATATAAAACAGTTTTCTTCCTTTATACAAAGGACTCATTTCCTTACAACAGATACTGATTGATCAATGTTTTTCTGCTAATTTAGTAAAATTATCCTATTATGAGTTCCTACAAAGTATATTTAAAATATATTCTCTAGCTATTTCATTAGGAATGAAAACACTGCAATATAAAATAAATCATACCAAACAAAAGAGGAACAAATGTTAATTGGTTGATTTGCCCTCCATTCATTGTTTTTGGTTGTATAAACAGCAGTGAAATTATATTAAACAGAAAATGAAATACTAAGAGACAAGGCAACTCAGATCTACAGGCTAAATTAAATGCTATAAGAAATGCAACCCATAAATCTTTTTAAAACGCATTGTGACATGTTTTAATATATTTTTGGCTTTAGAATATGGTGTATCCTGCAGCTTAAACATTGAAAGAAAAAGAAAGGAAGAAACTTATCTATATAGCAATATCATGTACAAAAAACAATTCCCCTATGTTTATTGTTTTTCTAAAAATCATTTAAAATTATATTATTTAAATTACTGTATAAATATTATGTTGTGCTTACTTGGGCACTGATGCTTGTATTTTTTTGCAACAATAAGAGAACAGTAAAGATAAAAAACTAAAAATAAATAAGTGCACACACTAAGCAAACCTGACCATTGGTAAATGCCACCACATTAATGGTAAACACTGCCAATATCCTGAAAAACAGGGACAAGTGAAAGGAACAATAAAGGTTATCAGTAAGTGATAATAAAATGTGTAAGATACCTTGTGAATCAAAAGCTTAGGGATTTGGTTTAAAGCAATGATATCACTTACTGTATGTATTAAGTGTATGTAAATCCTAAAAATGAACTTCCTTTATTTGCTCTTTTTTGGTCAGCTAATTATACCAATTAAATAGTTTTGTTATAGGAGTAGGTGTCTTTTGTAATTCAGCAGAAATTAAGTAGGCAGAGCTAACAGCACCTCAAACAGGTAGGAGCATACTATATTTCTGGCACATCAACAGTTATTTTTCTGTACTTGCAGTGTATTTAAGGAGATAAATCATGAGCATATATTGCAGAGATGTACTAAATAGGTTATCTGTTTTTTTGTAAATATTTTCCTTTGATATACGCTTGAAGGCTCCATTCACATCTCAGTGTCTACATTTTTAGTTCTTTTTCAGGTATTTTGTAAACCTTTTTGAGCATTTTATGCGTGTCAAGGTGCGTAATTAAAGTGTTTTTCATGTGTTTTTGCAGGCATATTCAGCTTCAGGCGTGTTTACAAAGAGGAGGAGAGCTGCTTCTTTTGCGGAAAACAAAAGCTTAAAGTTGGCTGTATCACGCACTTACAGGCATTCCTATTGAAGGCTATCAGGCTATCCCTTCCCCAAGCTAGCCAAAACTAAAACGTTTTTGGGGTTCAATCTTCCTAATATCTACTTGAAAGTACCAATACTGTCTACTTCTGCGACCTGCAGTTAGCTTCTCTTCAAAAAGTCTTTATAAAAG